TGAAGCCTGTCAAGGGGCTGTTCATTCATACTGATGGGGACATCTGTGCCTCCTGATGCTGCCGTGCCCCCCCCCCCCACCTCACCCCTTCCATCTTTTCCCACTAATCCCCCACCCTCACCCCTTCCTCAGCTCTTCCCTCCCTTAAGTTAGTGTCGCCCACTTCCCCCAAGACAGCTGGGTGACCCGCGGGCCCGGCCAGGATGGCGACTAGCTGTGATGAAATAGAGGCAGGCAGTTGTTCACGTGCCCCCCACCTCCCCTCCCCGGGTCATTATTTAAAGAGTGACAGAGACTCCAGTGAGTGAAACGTGAGCGATGTAAGGAATGGGAGGGTGAGGAACGGGGATGGGGTGGGGGGGGACGGGTTGCAGGTGTATTGTCCGTTGGAGGGCGAGGCTGCCGGGAGACAAATGAATCCAGCAGGCAGAACATCTGATGTAGTGTGTACACTTCTACCTGAAGCCTGTCAAGGGGCTGTTCATTCATACTGATGGGGACATCTGTGCCTCCTGATGCTGCCGTGCCCCCCCCCCACCTCACCCCTTCCATCTTTTCCCACTAATCCCCCACCCTCACCCCTTCCTCAGCTCTTCCCTCCCTTAAGTTAGTGTCGCCCACTTCCCCCAAGACAGCTGGGTGACCCGCGGGCCCGGCCAGGATGGCGACTAGCTGTGATGAAATAGAGGCAGGCAGTTGTTCACGTGCCCCCCACCTCCCCTCCCCGGGTCATTATTTAAAGAGTGACAGAGACTCCAGTGAGTGAAACGTGAGCGATGTAAGGAATGGGAGGGTGAGGAACGGGGATGGGGTGGGGGGGGACGGGTTGCAGGTGTATTGTCCGTTGGAGGGCGAGGCTGCCGGGAGACAAATGAATCCAGCAGGCATTTGGTACACACCGGAGATTGCTTATCGATCCGGATCACAGTATTCAGGCGGGCCTGAGAGAAGGCTGAGAATTTTCTGAGGGAGTTAATAACCCGGCAGCTCAGCTGTCTTGTCCAATCCACCAAAGGCGGAGGCCTAATCAGGGCTGGATTCCCTTTTCTTGTCCCCCCACAACCCCCTCTCAACCCCACATCCCTTCCCACCCCGGCCACTCACTTCCACTCCGTCGGAGCGGCGCGAGTGATTGAAATGACAGCCCCCGTTGAAAGAGGCTAATCAAATTGTTTATTATCAGTCTGAATCAATATGTATGGATTGTTAAAACATCAAAGTCGGGGGTGGGGGGCACAGAAAGTAATAGTCGGGGGGCCCGGCGGCAGCAGCTGCTCGCCCTGCTCTGTATAAAGCGACTTTCACTCTTACTTAAACCCCCGTGACCCGGCTGAAGGGGACCCCTAAAAAAACGTCCCTCCAGCGCATCTGTTCCGGTGCACCTGATAAGCCGGTGGTCCTCAAAATGGGGACCCCAGACGTCCAGAGTTCCGTAAGTCATAGTTTGGGGGTCTGAAAAAAATCATTTGCATGACATGGACTTTTGGAGTCTTTGGACTTTGAAACCTAAACATCCACGACATTTTTTCCTAAAAGGAAACCGAACCAAACTGTTGCATATCAAATACATGGGAGGGCCATCTTCTTTTTATTTCCTCAAAGTGATGTGATACTATGTATCATAGTCTCCCGTTTCCTGACGGTGAGAGCGTGACAACAGGCCCCAAGGAGTGTTTTATCTTTTGCTAAAAAATGGATGGGTGGACGGATCAGTTAAAAGTGTGTTTGAATAAATGTAAATGTGTTTGTGGGAGGAGTTACACCATATTAAATGATATGGTCTCTCTATATTGCGGATATTCCCCAAGCTGTGTCTTATGGACCCCGAGTTTGAGAGCCACTTTGATAAGCAATCCGTCAGCGGAATAAACGAGACGCCGCAACGTTGATAAAGAGCTCAGCCTAGCAGCAGCCCCGCGCCTCGAGCAAAATTTGGGAGCCCCCGTCATTGGAGGCCTTCACACTCAATATTTCGCACCCGTGCTCTTGTTTTCCTCTCCTCGGCGCGCCAGCCTGATTGCAAATGAGCTCAGGGCTGATGAATGAGTCGGCCCACGGGCCAAAATTGGCCCGAGATGGACATTGTAGTTGGTCGGGAGACAAGCCGGCGTGGAAGATTGATGGATGGCCATTGTGCGTTCATTGGCGCCCGGCGTGACACCTCATGTTTGGCCGGGGTCCACCTCCCTGACGCCCCGCAAACACTATACGTGTGCTTGGCTCGATGGAATGATTAGACGCTGAATGATATGTTCTCCTCCATCTTGACCTCTTTACCAGTGCGCAGCATTAAGATGGATCACTGCCGAGTGTGAGGACACAAGGTCAAAAGTGAGAGGGATTCAGCCGCCTTTACACCCTACATTATCAAATGTTTGCCATCCACACATCAATTTGGACACCACTTATCCTGTGTAGGGAAGGCAAGAGTCATCTAAGTGAACCACGACAAACACTGATCACACCTTGGACTGAGTACAATTCACTGAGTCGGAAGTGATCCCACACCACATTTGTGGATTCCGGCTAGGTGAATCACTATATCCTGGACTCATTGGTCGGCAGTCAAAGGGACACTACCCTTTGAACAGCATGTTGCGTGGGAATCGATGCTGCGCTAGCTGCCTGAAAGTCGACTTTGTGAACCACTACATCCTGCACTCAATGCCAAGTTAGGCAGTGTGGCTACTTCAGGTCATATATGTGAACCATTACAAAGACAGACTACAGCCCGGACTGATCATGATGAAGCATGAAAGTCTGGTATGTGGACATCTGCGAACCCCATTCATCAACCAGATGACTGTGACAGGTGCTTTGAGTGAAAGTTTATTCCAGACAAGCTACGCGAGAGTCAGTTGTGTGAACCATTACACTCTGGAAAATCACTGGAAAATCAGTAAATTGGAGTGAACATATGCATGAAAGTCAGCGATGTGAACCACTATGCTCTGGACTGATTGCTAGTCACTCACAGGGTTACTGTGACATTGCGTCACCGTTGATCCAATGCCAGCTACAATAAGTCAACTATGTGAATCACTAGAAAGACCACTGGACTGGGTGTCGGTCAATCTGAGGACACCGGTGAAAAACGCAATGAGCAATTTCTCCCACAGCAGCTGCACAACAGTCAGCAATATCAACCACTACGCTAGCACTGCTTGTTTTGCTCACCGCCGTAATCTGTGCACTTGATCAGGACATGAAGCCAACTGTCGTCCGGCATGGCACACAATGAAGGTGATTGATTGGACGCTCCAGGGGATCAAACCCTCATTTCGCTCCTAATTTCGCCTGTCACTCATCTCACTTCTCCCGACGTTCACGTTCAATAACAGCCCGCTCATCTTTTCGTCCTAATTGGAAGTCCATGCAAGTCCTTATCATCTGGCCCATTACATAATCCACATGACGGCAGCCGTCATCCATCATACTGCAACATTTGTTCTGTCTTTTGGGGCGGGATGATCAGAGACGGCGGCCGAGTAGGGCCACGTATTGATTTTTGTACCAAACATCGAGCTCAGACTCCAGAAGTGGATTGTTTGTCTCTTATTGATAATTGCTTTAATGACCATGACGGACAGGTTGGGGGGCAAAAATGATGGTTTTTTTTTTCACCCTTAAATATGGTGATGTCTTTTTTTCCAAGCGCTAATAACACTGCGCAACTTTTTTTTTTTTTTACATTTGTTTTAAATGAGAGATGCAAATACACGTTTCTAGATTGATCATTTGTTTTTGCGCTGCTTCCCAAGCTACCCTCATTTTTGTTCTTAAACACATCAGGTTGATACTAATAATAATAATAATAACATAGTTCTATAGTTCTATAGGAGAGGGGGAAGGGGGTGGTACTGTACAATGCAATATGGTGCAGATACAAATGAGGATTATTTTAAGATAACCTCTACAAAGTAACCACTAGTCTGCATGTCCACAAATATGAAGTGACTGTGGCGGCCTCATCAAGCATCTGGGCCACAATTAACGGAACAGTACTGATCCAACATACGGACCTCGGTCCACTTCACAACTCGACCAAAAAAAAAACAACAATGTGCCCTTTGCGGCTTTGAAAAGAACATTAAGCCTGATGAGACCGGCGGGGTTTTCTCTGATTGAGTTGCACACATAAAACACAGAGCGAGCGTGTTATGTAGTTTGCGTTGGAAAAGATGTGATGGTTTATTTAGCAGGCAGGGATGATCCAAAATGTACTGTGGGAGCTGAAGCATTTACTGGCGTGTTTGATCCACTGTGAGAAATAGGGCGGGGGAACTGGTCATGTTCTGTCTAATCTGGGCAAAAGTTTGTGCTTATGGGCCACATTTCAATTTTTTTTTTTTTTTAACAGGCAGAAGAGGTGTGTCATTAGCGGAGAGGTTTTAATTTTAATACTAAAATAATGAGTTTTTATATTTGTTGAGATTTTTTAAAATAATGTAATTATCATGATAATTTAACCAAATAAATAAAAGGTAAAATGTTAGAAACAAAGAGTCAAGAATAACCTTTTTTTTTTTTTTTTTTTAATGGATGAATGGAATTTCGAATTCTGCCAAAAATGAACAAGGGTCTGGAGAAAAATGAACAAAATTAAAAACCACAGCTGTGCAATTCTTGCGTGACTTCAGCTATGTGAGCATCTAACTGATTACCACCGCTTGTTGCTTTTTCTTTAGCTTTGTTGCTCCCTTGTTTCTGTCTACTCGCCCAAAGGATGAGTAGTTTTATTTTAGAGTGCCTAACTTTTTTTTTTCCTTTTACAATCATGTAATTAGTGATTTTTAAAAAGTGTCCCTTTTAGTTAACTCATTCACTCCCAAAGACGTTTTTAAACGTCTTTTCAGACTTGGTCTAGAATTGGCTGGTAGTGAATGAGTTATAATAAAGGTTTCCTGACTATGAACATTTGCCCTATATAGATCATTTCCATTATTTCCTATGAAACAAACGGTTCACTGAATAGTGACCTCTCTTCGTCGATGCTTGAGAATCACGGCGGCTACTAGAGACTGGGATAAAATCGGATAGGGCATTTGACGGATTTAGGGCTGGGACTTAATGGAGTGCACCTGCCAGGTAAGAAGATAAACCACTGGGGGTCAGCATAGTTGAGGTTGCCAGTGGCGGTGTTGGGTTTCTCCTCTGAGTGAATCTTTCCACTACTTTGTGCATGTTTCAACTTTAATTTGACACTCCCTTCCACGGTCCTCCACATATTGTATGGATGCACATTGCGGTATGAAGAATCCGGTCCTAATTAGCAGGGCTTTTGATATGAAATGATGCATCATCTTCTCGCTAGGCAACAGCTGATTGGACGCCGGCCGCTAATGCTGCTTCACCCCCCCTCTCGCTGAGCAGCGCGGCTTTCATGTGAGTACATATTTCCTGATAAAGCGACCGGTTATAATTGGAACAAGGCCCCCACTGACTCATCATAGGCCGGGGCCGACGTGGCCGCGGTCCACTTACTTTATTTATCTCTTACATCTGTTTCCTGCGTGCGGAATCCGCTGTCGTCGTCTCTCTTTCCCCCTGCGAGTCATTAAGGCCCGCAGGTAAGATTGTCTGTCTGCTGAGAAGCCTTCAGCATCTGCTCCCGCCCGGACCCTCGTCATAACCTGACCAGGATGTTTAAAGCGCATGTCCGACTGCTGTGTTTTGACTTGCTGGAAGTGCTGTTTAATGACAATGGACTGCTTGTTCTGTTCACGGCGCAGATTCTAATCAAAGCTTTCATCAATAATGGATGGAGGATCTAATTGTGGGTGTACAGCTAGGCTGGGGGGGGGTGTCCCCTTGTAGGCTTTAATTAGAGACCACTCGGATGGGATCTTGGGTGTTTTTGACTGTTGCTGAGTAACTCTAATGCTGTGATCAGTTTTCGGCTGGAAAAGAAAAAGGCGGTTGGAAATAATGAGAGAGAGTCTCAGTTTTTGATTACAAACTACATTGAAAAGCTACACTTTAGGACTTGTTTTTTTCCTTATGCAAAACCAAATAATTTTACGGTTGTTTTTAAAAAATATATTTTCTATGCAGGAAAAAAGAAAACAACAACAAATGAAATTCATCATGTCCTGTTCTATTTTACCTTAATAATTGGCCAAAACTTTTTTTTTTGTCACGGAAATAAACAAATTGACATGATATAAACTAAAAAAAAAAAAAAACCAACACATTTCAGGGGTTGTATTGATCATTTGTTAAACCCTTTTCACACTGCACTTAGCAGGGCGCATTGTGCCGTGGACGAACCCATTCATTGTGTTTGTTTTTGAGGGGCGGGGACCTAAAAAAAATCAGCGCTGCTGGGAGGCCATTCCAACAGGTCGCCTCATCGTGAAAAATTGTCTCTTCGAGAGCGGCGTGGCTGTGACATCGGACAAGTGCCTCTAATAGGAAACTAGCTGGCTGAGTGACTTGTGCTATTTTGGCAGACTTATTTGCAAGTAACGGCACGAGGACAAGAGAGAATGTGTGTGTGTGTGTGTGTGTGTGTGTGTGTGTGTGTGTGTGTGTGTGTGTCAGTCGCATAGTACTGTAATGCGCAAAAAGATACCATGACCAGCCCAACTCCAAACCAGACCTGTAACATGTCACCACAGGGGGCAGCAGAATACTCCAGTTTCCAGTCCAAGTTCATTTTAAGGTGTATGAGCCCCCTTTGAATGAACAGCGGCGTCACACCGTATTAGCCGGTGCGCGCCATATCACACTCAGGCCTGTGCACTGGGGCCTAATTAAAACACACCGAAGGCTTGATAACACTGTGGCTGAAAGTAGATCTCCTTAAGAGATACTTAATCCCGCTAAAGATTTGCAGCAGCTCTCCCGCGCTGCATCGCAATCAAAGCTATCAGTCGGGTCTCTAGTGGACTCATTACTTGATTTCTCCAAACTGACACCCCCTCTCCCACCTTCAGATAACACCCCCCCACCCCCCCGCCCTCCCATCCCCTCTTACCCCGAGTCCCGCTCTTGTACCCATTCACTGGCTGACCCCAGCAATCAAAGTATTCTTATGACATTCATTAAGCATTGGCAATAGACACCCAACACACTCTTGTCTCATCATTATTCAATGCCTTATCGGCAAGACACAAAGCTGCCACTAACCGTAGGTGTGTATATGTGTGTGTGTGTGTGGTGTGTGCGTGTGTGTCCCAGGTCTCCTCTTCCTAACAGGGGCAAGGGTCAGGTATCAGGGATAGTGGTGATCAGGAGCTATACTCTCAGCACATCATTCAGGTTAATGAATGCGCTTGCGTCACCTTCATGCTTCTATTCTTTCAGCGCTAACACACCACCTACTGCCCTGGGGTAAGGAATGAAAGTCCTGACCCGGTCCGTCTCAAGATGAGCATAGCCTGTTGTGTGCAGATTTTTGTCATTGACACATTGCTGCATTGGAGTCAATGATCAACTCCAAATGTCGATTCATTCATCCTTCCATGTGTTGCAGTGCTTGTCCTCGTTCGGGTTGCAGGTGAGCTGGAGTCTATCTCAGCTTTTGGCGGTCATGTGGGATATAAACCCAGGACTGGTCACCGTCCAGTCATTTGGCACCGTAAAAAAAAATCGGCGTAAAAATCTTTGGGCTGATGTCTCAGCCAGGCGCTCACAACACTTTTGACTTCATCGTCACGTTCAAACTTTGGATATATATTTTGGATTTTATTGACGTCATAAAGTTGCTGGCTCTTCATAGGCTACTAAACTTTATTCAAATGATTGGGAGCCGTTGCTTCTTGTGGTATTTGTCGTGGAAATCCAGCCAGCAGTGGCTGAAGTCAGGAATGTGAGTGCGTATGTTTTTTTTTTTGTCTGTTATGTGTCCTGTGATTGGCTGGCGGGTTTATTCTGTGCTCTTACCCCAAAGTTAGCTGGCTGCAACTCACCCATGACCCTAAATAGGACACGCGGTATAGAAGAGGGCGTATCGATTATAATTTATGCCAAGTAAAATTGAGTTTTGGCCGCAACAAGACATTTTATCAAAACTAAATTAAGAAAAAAAACAATTGCTTTGTTTTGGGAAAGAAAGAAAAAAAAATCACAGGCCAAGTGATGTACTGTGTCGGATGTGGCCCACCAGTCTCAAGTTTGCCGCCCGTGTTAAATGGGAGCATGGGGGTCTCACTGCATTATCCGGCTGATTTAGTTATGACAGCTGGCGCCTGCGAGGAGCACAGCGGTTGGGGAGGGGAGGGCGTTTTTGCGGTGGATGTGGGGGTGGGGGGGGGGAGCGCCGGATCACCCAGGCTGCAGACAAATGATGATGAAGAGATCACTTTATGGAACAATCTCCATAATATTTCATGCTCACTCGGCAGCTCCCGGGCGGCCGCTGGGGCCTGCGAGGCTAACTGCTCCATCAATTGATTTGATTCACGGCGGCAGCGGACTACTCGTCGCATGGAGTATTTCAAATAAATGACAAGCGCGGAAAGGAATGATATCTACATCAATATTAACCCTGAAAGGGAATAATGGATGCCGGGCTGCAATTTGCGCCGCATCCTGAGTAATGCTTTATGCGGCAGAAGGCAGGTGACGGAAGAGTTATAGCTCAGGCGTTTCCGGTCCTCATCACCATGCCCCCCCCCCACCCCTCCCCCAAACACACACACACACACACACCTCTGTGTTTTCATTTAAAAACCAACACACAAGCGGATTCAATTTGACCTCGAGCGCACCCCGCCCAACCTTTACACAAATATACAAAGCTACATCTTCCCCTCATCCTGAGGCGGCCATTTGTTTTCCTCTTTATGAAGCACATTACAGCCGAGGAGGCTAAACCCAAGTTGTCCCCCGTCCCCCCCGCCCCACCCAGCACAAAAAGCAGTTTATCAGATAAATCACCCCTGACCGCTTGAGCCATTAGAGCGGCCGCAGAAGTGCAGCTCGGGCACGTATGGCACTAATAATTATGGCGTGCTCACCTGCTATTAATGCGCGGACATGATGCATGCTTGGCTGCAGCAGCGGTTTAACATGGCTCAGCACTCTTAACCTGATCCCGCTCGCACAAACAGGTGTATAATGGATTCAGATCAGGTACATGGATATTTATACTGATTGGTGGCGGGTAAAAAAAAAAAAAAAAAAAAAAAGAAAGCTTCAAATAAGGGGACGGAGACGAGGACAAATGATATGGCGGCTAAGCAATGAAAAGCTTATCTCCCAGTTTTGCGTGTTTGTATTATTTAAAAAAAAAAAAACATTGGACGAAAATAAGTTTTACTCCGAGCAAAATAAGTAGGTTGTTTCCAAAATGTGTCCAATAATAAAAGCAATCTTTATTCAACTAGAAAAAAAATGCAATCGGTAATTTTTTTCATTTTTATTCTCATTGTGCAATGATTTTTTTTTTTTTTTTTTATCAAATTCTTTGGGATTAAAATCAATTTCTTTGGGATGACTTTTAAACACACAATTTTGGGTAATGATTTTCATTGGATGATTGTCCCATGAAGCCAAAGGACAGTACATTTATTTATTGTTGCTGTTTTGAGGTTTTACCCCAAAAAATGTATCTCCAAATTTTGTGATTTTTTTTTTTTAGTTAAGTCTGAAAGATACTTTTCTGTAAAAAAAAAAAAGAATAAGTAGATCCATACATTTACATTAAATGTTCTATAAAGTGCTTTTTTTTTTTTTTTTTTTACAGCTGCAGCCGTTGTAAAAGCACTATATAAATAAATATGTATTTCTTGTCTTCAAACAAAATGCTGTGGGACTTTAGATTTTCCCAGTACTTGCGTCCCCCCGCGGGAGCTTTGGCAGCGCCGCTGCACTTGTCAAGCAGCATGCAGAGAGTCGCTCATCATCATCATCCTCTCTGGGGCCTGCTTGCTGGTGTCACTTCCCATGTGCGGGCCTGCTAGTTCATGTCAGCCGCTGCAAGCAGGGGAGAGCCCGCCTGCTGTTTTACTTCATGTTCGACTGCTCGTGGCGTGCCGAGTCGGCCCGCCACCCCACCCCCACTCAAAGACCCCCCCC